CTCATCCAAGAAGCTTCTTCAGTTCTGAAGAACTGAGCTGGCATGTCTAGCCTGATGAAGAGAAGGACTAGGGGTGACCTGAGAGCAGGGTTCCAATATTTGAGGGGCTGCCCCAAAGAAGAAGGGAGTCAAGCTATTCTCCAAAGCACCTGAAGGCAGGACAAGAAGCAACGGATGGAAACCAATCAAGGAGAGAAGCCACCTGGATCTAAACATCTTCAAACAAAATGAAGAAAAAGTCCAGTTGCCTTTTGAAAAAAGCATCTTTGGGATGTTTGGACAATTATTGCCACTGCTGAAAACAAAAAAGTGGAGAGCTGGATGCCTCTTTTCTCTCAAAGCTCACCTCTGCCCTTCTGCCTCTTCCTGCTCCTCGGATCGCCCCCAACCTCCGTGTCCGAATCCTGTTCGTCAATCTTATTTCTCTTTTTCCATTTGTCATAGCTGGAGCTGAATTAAGAAATCCAAGCTACACAAAGTCTTCCAGAGTAGCCCAACACAGATCGTACTCACCAACCCCATTGTTTTCTTTCCTACCCCACCCACCTGGGTTAAAAATGCATGTGGGAAGAAGAATGAAGGTGGATTCTTAGCGCCCACTAACCTTCTGTTTAAAGCAGCTTAGCCATTTTAAGTTGTTTGGACTTCAACTCCCAGAATTCCCCAGCCAAGTCTAAAATTGCCACGGTTGAGAAAAACTTGGCCACTTTAAGGCTTGAGGACTTCAACTCCCAGCATGCCTGGCTGAGGAATTCTGGGAGTGGAAGTCCACAACTCTTAAAATGGCCAACATTTGGAAACTGCTGGTTTAAACGATGGATGAATCCCGATTGACTACAGCAATAGGGATGTTAGATTTGCATCTGATCACATACAATGATCAGAATTTGAATTATATATGGCAAATCACGGCCAAGTCTTAGCTAGACCAAGATTAAGACATTTCCTGGAACGAAATGGAAGGATACAGGTTGGTTTTGTAGGAGCTGTTGATGTAGGCGCCGCTCTCCGTACGGATCTTCTTCTTATCCTCCTGACCCTTTTGCCCAACAAATCGTTTCCGCTTTCGATCCCTATAGGACAGGAAAAAAAAAATACAGCAAGGAAAGTAGGAGAGAGATCCCTTCTTAAGGGAAGGATCGGCCAGAGGATTGGCCAGTGGAAAAATGCAGATCACTTCCTACATTGGAATGTCCTACAGGTGGGCATAACACAGCCAAAAATGGAAGAATGTACAGGCAGTTCTCAACTTACAACCATTTGTTTAGTAACTGTTTGAAGTAACAACAATGCTGAAAAAAGGGACTTAACAACTGTTTTTTCACACGATCCTTGCAGCATCCTTTTCAGTCACAAGACCAAAATTTGCATGCTTGCCAACTGGCATGTATGCATGATGGTTGCAGTGTTCTGGGATCATGTGATTCCCCAGTTGCAGAAATTGGATATGTCTAGTCTAGTGAAAAGAAGGACCAGGGGGGACATGATAGCAGTATTCCAATATTTGAGGGGCTGCCAAAAAGAAGAGGAGGTCAAGCTATTCTCCAGAGCACCAGAAGGCAGGACAAGGAGTAGCGGATGGAAACTAATCAAGGAGAGAAGCAACCTGGAACTAAGGAGAAATTTCCTGACAATGAGAACAATTAGCCAGTGGAAAAAGCTTGCCTTCAGAAGTTATGGGTCCGCCAACTCACCTCCGAAAATTCTTCTCTAACCTATTGGTAAACAGATTTTACTATATCCCAAAGGACGGACTCGTCCCCCAACCTGATCTTCTGGAGGTTCCAGGGAAGGTTGACAATAAGATAATAAGACTTCGTGGGAAATAATCGACAAGAGAGAACGTCGTTTCATTACATTCTGTTTTTGTCTAAATTTAGAGTAATTATAAGTCTCATTAGATTTAAATCTCATTAAACTTTACAGTCCCCCAAACAGGAAAAGAAGTAGCTGCAGTTACATTCTCGGAAATCTTTTCGAAGTGCTCAGTCAACCGTGAGTCTTTAAAACAAAGGCAAGCAAGTCAAACCGATCCCGGTGCTTAGAGGGACAAGTCCTTACAAACTCTTTTGACAATACAGCCATTGTTCCCCGGCGTTTCTTTCCCAGTCTAGGCTACAGGCCTCGGTTCTCCTCGTGGTCTCCAAGGACCAATCAGATTTACCTGTCTTTGATGTCGTGAGATCAAACAGGTGCAAAAACCTGCTGCAGGCAGAAACGCTCCACAAACATGGACGGTTTTAAGAAGAGAAACTACTTCCTTTTTTCTTCAGATATAACAATATAATAAAATAATAAAATGGCCTAATTAGGAAGGTGGGAACCAAGGGGGTCCTGGAGTTACGGGGAACCAGAGGTACATTCTTACCTCGGTCTTTTGGGGACAGCAAAAAAAATTGCTCGGCCATGAGGTGACTCACCATTTCAAAAGCTTTTTGTTCTTGTTTAGATTCCTGTCCTCGTCGCCCATTAAGTCAAGGACTGCTGCGGAGGCCTGCTGTTCAAACGCGGTGCCTTCCCCTCCAACACAGAGCCTGCAAAATTGAGGAAATAATTCGTTCCACCAGTTGCCCTCTTGTGTGTTTTGGAGATCCTGCATAAGTGACTCTCTGGCACAGAGTTCTCCATTGTAACCGAGGTTATTTCCCCCTAAGTAAGGGGTTTGATGTGCCCACCACCCCTGGCCTGGAGACTGTACATACCCCCGCTCTGAAGCAAAGTCCTTGGGTCGATAAGGGACATAAAACTCCTTCTCCTCCTTCACTGACGGCTTCCTCTTCTTCACCGCTCTGCTTTCTGATGGAAGATGCTTTCGTTTCTTTCCCACCACGCTGGAGAAGACACCCTGGTGTGGAAATTCAGGAGAACAAATTAGAGAAAGTCCCGGAGAAGAGAAGGACCAGGGGGGACGTGATAGTAGTCTTCCCATATCTAAGGGGCTGCCAGTAAGAAGGGGGGGTCAACCTATGCTCCAAAGCACCTGAAGGCAGGACAAGAAGGAAAGAGCGATCCAACCAAGAACTAAGGAGAAAATTCCTAACACTGAGAACAATTAATCAGTGGAAAAGCTTAACTCCAGAATTGGTGGGTGCTCCATCACTGGAGTTTTTAAGAAGAGACTGGACAGCCATTTGTCTTGACATGGTACAGGGTCTCCTGCTTGAGCAGGGAAGTTGGACTAGAAGACCTCCAAGGTCCCTTCCAACTCTACTCTATCATTCTATTAAGCCATTGGCTGGCTATGTCCCTTTCAGCAGCAACTTCATAATTAAAGGAGCATCAATCTTAAGATTCACGAGTCATTTGTCTTCCGTTGTTCTACCTCAATATGGTCTTCTCCGTCTTCCATTGGTTCTTCTGCAACAGCCACTTCTTGAGTTTTCACAGCAGCCAAGGACAACCTTTCCTCCTGTTTCCGCTGGTGCCGGTCAATTAATTGCCGGTCGCGGATCCGTTTAGCCCGCATGACGTCACTGGCCAGAGTTTTGTTGGTGGCGTTGATTTCAAAGATGGTCTAATGAAAAAAGAGCGGAGATCAGAAACACTTCTCTGAAAATCAGGCTAGGAAAGAGGATCAAGATTAATAGGGCCCCAGTCGTTGGGTAACCATCATTTTCTCAGCATCCTACTTAGCTGCTCTCGAGTTCCCACAATGCCTTCAGCAGGTGCATTGTGGGTGGCTAAAATGCTGGCTCCCAAGGATATCTATTTAGAGACGGTGAGAGGTCTGGTTCCAATCAGGACTATTCAACTGAAATTTCAGAAGAGCTTCTGTAGGAAGGTCTGCAGAAGGTCTGAGCTGCTCCTAGATGAAACAGACGAAGCCGGCCTAGAGGAAACAGGGCTAAAACCTGGCTAATCAAATGTCTCTCAAATAGGACCTGGAATATTCAATAGCCCCACTTCCACATCATGCGGAGCCATGCCAAGTTTTCAAAACTTCACCTGCATCATGCAAATCATACAAATTGTGGTGATGATGTATTTAGGAGGTTCACTGGGAATAAGACACCCTTTCCCCCAAATTTGATCATAAAATTCAGTTTCCCTGTAATTAGTTTGGTCTAGTGGTTGGAAGCCAGGAGACGGTGAGTTCTAGTCCCGCCTTAGGCACGAAAGCCAGCTGGGTGATTCTGGGCCAATCACCAGGAGACTGTGAGTTCTAGTCCCGCTTTAGACCCAAAAGCTGATTGGGTAACTTTGGGCCAATCACCTTCTCTCAGCCGCAGAGGGTTCTTTTTGTGGAGAAAATTAAGATGAGGAAAGAGTATTAGGTAATTTTGCCGCCTCGACAGTTACAAAAATAATAAAGTCAAGATATAAATAATTTTTAAAACTATAAACAAACCGCTCCAGGGCCAGGCTGCAAAAACTACGGAGCACACATGGACCAACTTTATAAGGCGTCACGTGACTTCAAAAGGATTGTGACAGCAGAACTGAAATCTGGATCCCAAAGTCCTGGCTAAACTTACCGCTTTAGATCGGTACGTTTTGATGCTGTCCACAAATTTCAGCCGTGTCATCTCCTCCTCCTCAAAACGCAAACCTTAAACAGACCAAAAATGAGAGAACGGATCATCTGCTGTGGTCTAGGAAGCCTAAGTCTGCGTTCCCATGTCACATTTATTCCTGATTGGAGGAATCCATTGCCCAGACACGCAGGGATCATAAAGTTCTCTAGCCAAGGGACTAGATTCGCACAAGTCACAAAGTCCACCGCAAAATGAGCAAATATAAAACCAACTAATGTCAGCCAAATCTTTATGTGGCTGAATTAAACATTGAGTGTCTCTCAATGATAGAGAATTCTCAATCCTCCCCAAATTCTCATTCAGTTGTAAAATTATTCTGATCCACAAATATAGATAAATATACAGTACTACGTTCGCCCAAGAATGAAACTGGTGAAATCCATGAAATCTGAAATTTGGATAATATAAAAAAGAACCCTCCTTACTTTAATTCAATTTTGTCTGGTTCTCGGAACAGTGTTTCTCAAATTGGGCAATTGTAAAGTGGATGGACTTCAAATCCCAGAATTCCCTAGCCAGCATGCTTTAAGACGGGTGGCAACCTTGGCTCTTTTATGACTCATGGACTTCAACTCCCAGAATTCCTGAGCCAGCATGGGGGAACTATGGCCCCCTCATGACTCGTGGACTTCAACTCCCAGAATTCCTGAGCCAGCCATGCTGAGAGGAAAGGGAGAGGTTTCCAAGCTGAGCCATGCTGGCTCAGGAATTCTGGGAGTTGAAGTCCACCAGTCATAAAAGAGCCAAGGTTGCCTACCCCTGCTTTAAGAAGTGCAAACTTCAACTCCCAGAATTCCCAGCTGGCTGGGGAATTCTGAGAGTTGAAGTCCAGGTGTCTTAAAGTTGCCAAAAGGGAGAAAGACTTCCTGGGAATAATTCACAACCTGCAGAAATACTCACTAAAGAGGGGATGAATCCCTACGAGGCTGAATTCCATTTCTTTGACCCTCTTGATAGATTCGGAGGACGGACTTGGCCGGGATTTCTGGTACTGCTTGAGGGCGTTTTCCGAGACACGACGGAGATTCTGCAGGTCGAGGGAACGCTCGTGGTCAGTCTGTAGCAAGCTTTCCTCATCGTCCATGACGGCTTGGGGAACACGGCCAAAAACTCCATCTGAATCTGGGTGGGGTGTGTGGGAGAAGGGTCCTGTTATTTCCAGAAATTCAGTAGAGGTATAGTCCTCAACCTATGACCACAATTGATCCCCAAATTTACGTGGCAAAGTGAGACATTTGTTAAGAGAATTTTGCCTCATTTTACCATCGTTATCACTGCAGTTGTTAAGTTAGTAACACGGTTGTTAAAACTTCCCCGTTGGCTTTGCTTGTCGGAAGGTCGCAAATGGGGGATCACGTGACACCCCCCCGGGGACACCTCAACCGTCGTTAAGTACACGCCGGTTGCCAAGCGTCCAAATATTTATCCCGTGACCGTGGGGATGCTGAAACCTTTTATCAGTGCTGTTGTAAGTTTGAGCAGTCACTAAACAAATGGTTGTAAGTTGGGGATACTTACCTGTGGGCTTCTGATGAGGATTGGCGAAGACTAAAGGCCGGCCCAGAAACAGATGGAGGTCAAAAACGTATGGGGTCTCATCTGGGGCCACAAGGGAGTAGGCTGTTCCAGTCCTCCCCGCACGGGCCACTCTGCCTATGGGGAGAAGATGCCACGTCAAAATGGGTCAAGCTCCGAATGGGGCTTTTACAACCATATATGTGGAGTCCTTGATCCTCTCTGATCGTTTGCTTGGCAGACGTTTCATTGCCTGACTAAGTAACATTATCAGTGCTAGTGAGGGTGAGGTTTGCCCCCCCCCAAAAGCAGCTTGTCCTGGGTGGAGGTGTGGTTTTCTCTTTGGTAGTTCCTTGAGAGATAAATCACATTCAAGAGACAATTTTAAAAAAAAGGAAACAAAAGGAATAAAGCACATCCGCTGTCAACCAACACCTCAATAAGTAGGGGTTAACCCCCAGGCAAAGAATCAAGCAGAAAAAAAAATACCCTAATTAAGAAATTACCAAGGAGAAAACCACACACCCCAGCAATACTGGCAGGGCAAGGCACTGTCTATAAACAGGGAGCATATTCCATACACACCAGCACGGATGATGTTCCCTAGTTGGGTAATGAAACGTCTGCAAGAAAATAACCAAGCTCAGAGAGCACCAAGGACCCAACAGTCCTTCTCCTCCTTCTCCACCTCCTTCCCTTTCTTTTCCTCCTCTCCGCAAACCCCACTCCCTTCTAGCACTGATGATGTTACTTAGTTGGGTAATGAAACGTCTGCAAGAAAATAACCAAGCTCAGAGAGCACCAAGGACCCAACAGTCCTTCTCCTCCTTCTCCACCTCCTTCCCTTTCTTTTCCTCCTCTCCGCAAACCCCACTCCCTTCTAGCACTGATGATGTTACTTAGTTGGGTAATGAAACATCTGCAAGAAAGTAACCAAGCTCAGACAGCATCAAGGACCCCATGGTAGTCTTCCTCCTCCTCCTCCTCCCCTTTCCTTCTCCTATCCACAAACCCCACTCCCTTCTAGCACTGATGATGTTACTTAGTTGGATAATGAAACGTCTGCAAGGAAACCACTAAGCTGAGAGAGCAACAAGGACCCAGAAGAGGACTCCTGCTTTACAACAGTGAGCAAAATCATACAAATAACCCTGGAAGACTCCAGACTTCAGGAACTCACCGACGCGATGCAGAAAAAGCTTCGCCTTGGCTGGGAAACTGTAGTTAATCACATTATCCAGAAGAGGGATATCAATCCCGCGAGCAGCGAGATCGGTGACAATCAACACAGAGCATTTGCCGTGAGCAAACTTGCCGATGTTGATTTTGCGAGCCGTCTGGTCCAGAGAGCTGTAGATGTTGGTGCAATTCACCCCCTGCAACGTCAGCAGCTGCAAAAAAAACCAACAACAACCCACACATCCGTTAGGCCAGGAAAAAGCCAGCAAGCTGTAGAAACCTGAAGGATGACTGATGCTCAAAGCTTGAGACAATACAGGTGGTCCTCAACTTACGGCCACAACTGAACCCAAACTTTCACCTCCCTTTTTATTTCCTTAGTGCCTACATTTTAGTTCTCACCTGGGCACTGAGAGACAATTCAAACTGCTACAGAAACATGCCCCCGTTCCCCAAATTTTGTGCAAGTGGTCCGTTGTAACTCTGAACAGCTGCTAAGTGACCTGTCATTACGTGAGGACCACAAACCCTCTCCTTTCCCCAGGCCATCAGGTTCCCTGCACGTACCTCTTTCAGGTATTCTGTGTGATGCTTGGTGGCCACAAACACAATGGTCTGGTCTTGGGGCTTTGCCACAGTCCTCAGCAGATGTAAGAGAAGAGCTGGCTTGTCGTCGGCACGCACGTGGAAAAACGAGAGCTAGAGAAAGGAGGTTGGAACACAGAATCATAAGGCTGGAAGGGACCTTGGAGGTCTTCTAGTCCATCCCGCTGCTCAAGGCAGGAGAGCCTATACCATCCTTTTCAAATGGCTGTCCAGTCTCGTCTTGAAAAGCTCCAGTGATGGAGCACCCACTTCTGGAGGCCAGCTGTCCCACTGGTTAATTGTTCTCACTGTCGGGAAATTTCTCCCAAGTTCTAAGTTAGATCTCTCTTTAATGAACTTCAATCCGTTACTTCTTTTCCTGCCCTCTGGTGCTTTGGAGAATAACTGACCCCCTCTTCTTTGTGGCAGCCCTTCAAATATTGGAAGACTGCAATCATGTCACCCCCTGGCCTTTCTTTTCACTAGATTAGATGTCCCCAATTCCTGCAGCCTTTCTTCCTATGTTTTAGCCTCCAGCCTCCCTAATCATCTTTGTCACTCTTCTCTGCACTCTTTCTAGAGTCTCAAGATCTTTTTTGCATTGGGGTGACCAAAACTGGACACAGTATTCCAAGCAGTGGGCTTACTAATGCAATATAGAGCAATTCTATCCCTTCTCACGATGCTATCTTGATGTAGGTTATTTAATATCAACTGTTCTCTTTTACTTCTCTTCCTTCCTGGAGGAGTTAACTCAGCAACAAGGAACTGGGGCGTTCACAATGTTTTTTGAGCTAAAAATAATAATAAAATCTCAGAAACCCAACTCTCCCACTGAATCAACTCCACCCTACTCCAAGTGGGCCATTATAAGGAACGGTTGACCATTCCCACCTTGAGTTGCTCACTCAGCTTGGATTCCACATCCAGTCGGATTAGTACTGGCTCTGTGAGACCTAAGAAGAGAGGGAGACAAAATGAACAGAAGTTATTGGTGGGCGTAACGGACTCTGGGTGGCCCATAGAGAAAGGGGGGGGGGAGATTAACTCTGCTAACGTTTGCGTGGGAAACCTGGAGTTGGTTTTGCTTCGTCTGTGCCAATATGGTTTCTTCAGTAAAGTTTATACGCTTGATAAAATAATGTCCTGGGATTTTTTTTATTCTGGATCTGCCAACTGGACAGTTGACAGTATCAAACCGAGAAAGAGAGTCACATGAAAAAGAACCCCAACGCATCCCTTGCGTAACATCCAGCTCTCCAACCATTCCTTTGAGAACAAACGCAGTCTGGAACCATCTTCTCACCAGCTTGAGCGAACTCCACCAGAAGTTTCGGCAAGGTGGCGGAGAACAGCAGGGTCTGGCGACCGTCGGGCAGCCTGGAGACAATCTCCTTCAGCTGTTCCGCAAAGCCCATCTCAAACAACCTGGCGGGATGAGAAGAACAGGATCGTAAGAAGAGCTTCTGCAGAAAACCAGACAGCCTCAGATTAACACACCGCTGCTAAAGATCCAGCCCTTTTGGGGTAACCTGTCATAACTTCAAATGTCACTAAGCAATCGGTTGTTAAGTCAAGATTGTATGCAAGCAAACTACAAGGTTGGGTTTCTGGGGGGGTTATTGGCAAGTGTCTCACCCCCAAGATGGAGGAACACACGAGTCCCTTACGAAGGGGTTGGGAAGAACTATCAGGGAGAAGCACTTACCTGTCTGCTTCGTCAAAAACCACGTACTCCACACTGTGCAACTTCAGTTTCATCTCGACAGCCACGTGCATCAACCGGCCGGGGGTTGCGATGATGCTGCACAGAAAGCACAAAGGCACCGATTCAAGAGCCAATTCTTTCTCTCGCGGGGTTGATGGAAAAAAAGTGAGTTGCGCCGATCCCCTCTATCCAGTTTATTTACTCATTTAGTTATTCCACTTAATCGGTGGAACGGCTTGCCTCCAGAAATTGTGGGTGTTCCATCATTGGAGGTTTTAAAAAAGAAATTGGACAGCCCTGTGTCTGAAATGGTACAGGGTCTCCCTAATCCTTCCCTTCGTTTGATTAAATCGGAACTGGGTACGCCTTGTCTAAGCCATTTAAATCCGTTTTTAATGGATTTCGTGGAGGTTTTTAGCCACCATCGCCTACGTTCAGGCCTTGAGATGCCTGACTGAAAATCCAGACTTACATGTCAGGGTTCTCATGCAAAGCTACAAATTGGTCTTCCATCCTAGAAGGGAGAAAGAGGAAACAATTAAAAACAACTCAGAGGCTACTTAAAGAGAGAAGACACCCTCCATGAGGGAGACAGGCAGTTCAAAAAGTGATAAACAAATGAATAAAATCTCTGTTTGTAGTTTTCAACAGGGAGCTGGGCCAATTACAGCCCTTGAAAACTACAGTATTAGATCCAGAGGGAAAGAAACAGAGAGAGAGACAGTTTTATCCCCTCCCTTTGTTGTAATGTTATAAATTTGATAAGTTGCATTATTTTAATGCAGATTTCAGTGCAGTAATATTTCTAAAATATGAGCAGCCATTATTCACATTCTATCGGTTAGAAAGCTTAAAGCACTGAAAACAAAAAATGTAAATTGCAAGTAGGAATTGCTATTTAGTGTGTCAACATTACAAGCTTAAGATTAATTTTTCACCCAAAGTTAAGTACAACATTAAAAAAAAAAAAGCCTGATCTTGCCAATGGTCAAAGATAATAAAAAGTATATAGTCCAACTTCTGGGTTCAGAGAAGCAGATCTGTTAAAAAATTATGATGTATTTTAAGCTCTGAAACTAAGAACAATTAAGAACATATCTGTAAAGCACTGTGAAGCAGTATATCAGTCTAAGTGCTATTGCGATTGCTATTAAACAAAAAAACCACATTTGGGCGTGTAAGCGTGCACATCAACACACAACTGACCTGTCACCTCCAAGAATCAGAGCGGTTTTCAAGCCGGTAAACCGACCAAGCTGCAGAAAAAGAGGAAGGAGAATTAAATGCCAACTTCATTCCAATAAAGGAGAATCTTTGTAGCTCAGGGTTGAAATGAGGGGTCCCTGGCGCTCTCGGAGCTTGGTGGTTTTCTTGTAGACATTTCATGACCCAACTAGGTAACATCATCAGTGCTAGAAGAGAGAGCAGGGGTTGCAGGGAGGAAGAGGAGGAGGTGGAGGAGAACTGTGGGGTCCTTGGTGCTCTCTGAGCTTGGTGGTTTTCTTGCAGACGTTTCATGACCCAACTAGGTAACATCATCATTGATAGACAAGTTGAACTCCAGCCATTTTCATGGGGCCGTGGTGGAGAATCCCTGCTTTAATTCCTCAATTCCCACTTCTCCCTTTGAATTTTGGAAGTACCTCTTTGGTGAACTTAAGAGTCTGCAAAGCAAGTTCTCGGGTTGGGGACAGGATGAGAGCCCTTGCTCCAGTCTTGGCACAGCGGGCCTTCAACTTCTCCAGCATGGGGATCAGAAAACAAGCCGTCTTTCCACTCCCGGTCCTTGCCATAGCCACCACGTCCTTGCCATCCAAGATCAAAGGAATAGTCTGCAGAAGAAGCCAAATACAAGTGAGGAAGAGAGAGAGAGAAAAAACAACAGCTTTCCATTTAGCAAATCACCCAATTAGTTAAGGGAGAAATAACACCACAACGCTACTAAAAATAGTAGGGTGCTTTCTGTGCTCTCACCTTCCTTTGGATGGGAGTCGGTATTTTGTACCCCTTTTTCATGATTCCTTTGAACACCGGATAGCCGAGACCTAAGAAGCAAGAAAAACAGGTTAGCGATATTATCCTCTTTTCTTTTCAAGCTCAAAGCACCTACTGAGTCTTCCTAGCATACAAGCGGTTACAAAGTCGGAAAAAATTAAGAAAAAAATAAGGCACGTTCCCTTTGATTCCCACCATGGATGAATGGTTGCAAAAGTTGATGGGAGTTAGCAGAGAGGGCTAAACTACCTGCTTTGATTCAAGAAAAGAAATGCAATCGCTTTTGTTTCTACTTGGAAACCTCTGCTGGACTTTCTGCTAGAGGTGGGGAAAAAATACAGCTTTTGATTTTGGGCTTTACCGATTAGATAGGTTTGTTGATACAGAAATGGCTAGTTTATATTATTATGTAAAAGTAAAGTTGAAGTTTGCTGCTGTTATTCTATATCAGTGATAGCATGACCTCCGTAGATGCTAAATAATGCTAAATAATAAATTAAAAAGCTATAGCTCCCCTTAAAACATCCAGTTCAGACCTTCTCAACTTACCCATGGATTGAAAACCTCCCGATTTCTTCTTTTTCTTGTTCTGGGCACGAACCATTTCCTGAGTATCGGGTTCAATATCAGAAGCACCATCAGACTTGGATAAAGCGGATTCTGGCAATTCATAGTCCTTTAAACACAACCAAAGAAAAATGGAAATTTTCAGATCTGGACTGGTGGGACAGTCTACAGTAGAAATACTCACGGTTCTGGCAGCTTCTCTTCTAGCAATGTACTAGGGGTGACCATGACTGACTGGGGGGATGTAGAAGGGCACCTAAATTGATATGATTTGGGGGGTTTTCACCCAACTGCACCCAGATCACATGGAGTATTAGTACCACTTTATCAAACCTTGGTAAGGTCACACCTGGAATACTGCATCCAGTTTTGGTGCCCACATTACAAAAACTTTGGAAAAAGTGCCAAGAAGAGCAACTAAGATAACTAAAGATCTGGAGACAAAAACATGAAGAATGGTTGCAGGATTTGGGTATGTCTAGCCTAGTGAAAAGAAGGACCAGGGGTGACATGATAGCATCTTCCAGTATTTGAGGGGCTGCCACAAAGAAGAGGGGGTCAACCTATTCTCCAAAGCACCAGAAGGCAAAACAAGAACAACGGATGGAAACTAATCAAGGAGAGAAGCAAGCTGGAATTAAGGAGAAATTTCCTAACAGTGAGGACAATCAACCAGTGGAACGACTTGCCTCCAGAAGTTGTGGATGCTCCATCACTGGAGGCTTTTAAAAAGAGACTGGATAGTCACTTATCTGAAATGGTATAGGGTCTCCTGCTTGAACAGGAGGTTGGACTAGAATACCTCCAAGGTCCCCAAAATATTCTATATTTTACTCTATATTCTGTTCCATTCCTTATTGCAGATTCAATTAACAACTACCCAGTGGAACGACTAATCAAGGGGAGAAGCAAGCTGGAATTAAGGAGAAACTTCCTAACAGTGAGAACGATTAACCAGTGGATCAGCTTGCCACCAGAAGGTGTGGGTGCTCCATCGCTGGAGGTTTTTAAAAAGAGACTGGACAGCCACCTGTCTGAAATGGTATGTATAGAGTCTCCTGCTTGAACAGGAGGGCTGGACTAGAAGACCTCCAAGGTCCCTTCCAGCTCTATTCTGATTGATTGATTGATTGATATATTGATTGATTGAGATCCAACTTCCCCTTCTGGAGCAAAGATGCAACCCCTCCTTCATTACCCATTCCCCTACGTCCTCAGAAGGTGCATCTTCCCAGATGTTCTCAAACTACAACTCCCAGCATGCTTCCTTCTCGCACATGCTCAGAGTGAGCAACTTCTGGGAAGCCAGAAGTCCTTAGGCTTCTTAGGCTTCCCCCAGCCCGATCCTTTCCAGAGACCTGGGACTCCGCAGCCCAGGTGCTGGGACTGCAGGTCCCATGCCCTGGCTGGGGATGATGGGATCGCTAGTCCAGCCCATCTTCCCATACCTGATCCTCGTCGGGCTCCCGGCTTTTGCACCAACGCTGCCTTTTCCGCCTCCGCCCGGAGCCGAAAGACGGAGCCATCGCGGCTGTCCGGCCGAGAGACTTTTTTCCTGGAAGGCGAAGCCACGTGTGTTAACCAGGAAGTGCCGCGGGGCGGGGTTCGGAGGAGAGACGGCCTCCGATTGGTGCGTCGGTGGGCGGGTCGCGCACTAAGCCCCGCCTGCGCGCTTGCCTACCCTGCGGCTGGCTGGCCTTGGCTGTCAATCCGAGGCGGAAGGGAAAAGGAGCTTCCGTAGAGAAACGAAAGCGAAAACGGGTAGAGTCGCCATTTCTTCCGATTTGGGAAGGCGCTTTCGGGTTTGCTCTACCACCCTGGCTGCATTTGCATCGCCCTTCTTGGGCTGGACTTTTTTCCGTCCTTGGTTGGAAATTCCAGGGTTCCGTTTTAGTATCAATACAGGCGGTGTGTATTGTGTACATATGTATAGGTGGGAAAGTTGTTGTGGCAATAGAAGGGAGGAGAGGATGAGACAAGGTGTGGATACAATGCCCTGAGCTTCTTGGCAGAGAGACGGTTTATAACTTTGGGTATAAAATGTTAGATAGATGGATGGATGGAAGGACGGACGGACGGATAGAGACAGATGATATATATAGATATGATTAGATAGATACATAGATAGAGAGATGGACGGATGGACAGAGATAGATGATAGATAGATATGATTAGATAGATAGATAGATAGATAGATAGATAGATAGATAGATAGATAGATAGATAGATAGATAGATAGATAGATAGATAGATACATACATACATACATACATACATACATACATACATACATAGATACATAGATACATAGATAGAGATGGACGGATGGACAGATAGAGATAAATGATATATAGATATGATTAGATAGATGGATGGACGGATGGACGGATGGACAGATAGAGATAGATGATATATAGATATGAATAGAGAGCGAGATAAAGAGATAAGAGATCGATATAGATATAGATATAGACAAATAGGATAGAATGATAGAGATAGAAATTAGATATGTAAATAAATAATGACAATGATGGAATGATAGACATAAGATAGAAAATAGACATATGGAATCAGGGTAGCGATAGAACGATAGAAATAGAGAATAGATAGAGACAAATAATGAGATGGCGTACGTAAAGATGTTCATTTACACAAATATACATGTGCATATCAAATATGCATCTGCATACTGTATACGTGCACCCGCTTATCTGCATCTCCCTCCCTCTCCCCCTTCTGCCCCCCCCCTCCCCAAAGGGATGGCCGGGCTGGAGCTTAGGGGCGGGAGGGCTGGGCGGAGCGAGCGAGCTCCTCCAGGGAAGCCCCGTCCAGCTCCAGCCCTCCTGCGCCACTGGCCGCGCAACAGAGCCGGGAAGGCGCCCTTCTGCCCGCGCGCCCGCCCGCCCCCGGGGGTTGGGAGAGGCTCCGCGGGGCCCTCGCCGGCTGCAGAGCCGTAAGCTGGGCGGAGAAGGGGGGGATTGGGGTGGGGGAGAGCGCCTGCAGAGCCCCCCCCCGTGGAAACTGCGTGGAAGCTGCGCGGCTGCCTCTGCGGGTGGAACCGGAGGCGCCGCTTCTCGGCTGGGTTGCAACCGGTTTGCGGGCGCGTCCTTCCCGTGCCAGGTTGCAGCGGGTGGGCGCGGGTGGGTGGGTTGCTAGGGGGTCAACCGAGGCCAGGGCGAGGGGCTTCCACCCAGCCGCTTCCCAGCCCATCCCTTCTCCCACCCCGTCCCCACTTCCACGCAAACCACCCTCTGGACTCTAGCCTGGATGCGAGACTCGAATAGAATACTGTAACAAAGTTGGAAGGGACCTTGGAGGTCTTCTAGTCCAACCCCCTGCTCAGGCAGGAAACCCTATTCCATTTCAGACAAACGAGAAGAGTGGACGCACTGGTTGCAAGCAGCTGAGATTGCTTGGCTTGGATGAAAAAGAGCCCGCCTTCCAAGCCTTCCAATTAATCCTAATTCTAATATTTTGGAAAACCCAAATGTTCTTCTATGGGTCACACCATCATGCTCAGCTACCAAGTGGGTTTCTGGTTAGCATGTTGTACAAACACAGCAGTTGCGTTTTGTTGCTCTGGGGCAGCAGGTTGAGTGACCCCTCAGTATAGGAGATGACCAGGCTGAGGGAGTCAAGCGCATCATCATTTTAGATTTCCTTCACATCCACCAGAGATCTAAGTCAATTCCGTTGACTCTTTTCTACCGCCAATTGGCCTTGACCGTTAGTAGTTGAGATTCTTATTTAGAGGGAGCCTGGAATAAACTTGTATTCGTTTTGGAGCTGATTTCTTGCGCCCAGCAATCAGTTCTGCCCGTGCCATTAACCTCAATCCTATTTCCATTCCATCATTTTCAGAAAACGATGGTTCATGGATGAGAGCTTCTGCCTGCCTCAGTCAGCTCCATGAAGGCTTCAGCAGGACCGGGAGCTCCGTTGCCACGCAAAGGGAGAGTCTACAGGAACAAGGCCACGGCGTCCTTTGTGGACGAATCGCTTTTCGGTAGCCAAGGAAAACATCCATCTTCCAGCCCGGAGTTTGAACCGCCCTGGAAGGAGGCCAAGGCTCGTGGTCAGAGACCCCTGCTATGGAGTCCGGAGACCACGCAGATGGATTCCAGTCCCTTGAAATCCCCCCAACCAGTCAGCACCCCACGGAAGAGGAATAAATACAGGTAGGGCACGTTTGGGGGGCTGTTTCTTTGCAATAAGGGGAAGATAGAAAAGAGAGTATTTCAGATGAATGACATATGGAATTAATTTGCTTCAAAACAGCCTCTCAAGGTGTCTCACACCTAGGTTGGCCCAAATTCACCCAGCCAGCTTTCATGCCTAAGGCAGGACTAGAACTCACAGTCTCCTAGTGATTGGCCCAAAGTCACCCATCTGGTTTTCATGCTTAATACAGGACTAGAACTCACAGTCTCCTGGTGATTGATCCAAAATCACCTAGCCGGCTTTCATGCCTAAGGCAGGACTAGAACTCACTTATCTCCTGGTGATTGGCCCAAAGTCACCCAGCTGGTTTTCATGCTTAATATGGGACTAGAACTCACCATCTCCTAGTGATTGTTCCAAAGTTATCCAGCTGGCTTTCATACCTAAGGTGGGACTAGAACTCACCCTCTCCCGGTGATGGACCAGAGTCACCAAGCCGACTTTCATGCATAAGGCAGTACTAAAACTCAGAGAAGTTCAGCTTTCTTCCTTGACATTTTTTTCTATTGGTTTGACCAAACTCAACCTGTTGGCTTGTTTCTTGAGGCAAAGGCATTCTGCCAACTCTAGAAATGGCTTAAGCTTGTGGTCTGAACTTGGTCTGTCTCTCTTTTTCCTTCCGGAAGGTTGAAAAGCCACACGCCATCCTACTGTGACGAGACTCTGTTTGGGTCCAAATCAGGAGGGCAAGAATGGACAGCCTCCTGGGCCACCCGAGAAGATGTGGCTAAGCTCCGCCCTCTGCTCTGGACTCCACCTTCGGCTCCAAGAGACCGGCCAGTCCTTTTCCATCATCCAAAGGAGATGGTCATCTCTACGGGGAGGGATAGATTTGAAGCCAACCACAAAGTAGGAACCTCTTTTTGGAAGCCACCTGAGAACTCTTCAGAGGTGGCCACCCAAGTCATAAGAAGACCATGTTCCCAGTCTCTCGCCAGACTGTATGATACCTCTGATCGATTTCCCCCAACCGGGTCCAATAAACAGCAGGATCAACGCACGCTGCCTGCATCTTCACGAGCTCTTCTCACCCCAGGTTCAAAAGGGATGCTTTGTTCATCTGCTCGGATCACAAGTTCACGTCAAGAGAAACCTCCTTGGAGATAGACCAGCCAAATCAATCCTGTAAGTGGACAGCTTACTAAATCAGCATGCTGGCTGGGGAATTCTGGGAGTTGAGGTCCAACCGTGTTAAAAGATGCAGCAAATGAAGAGAATGCATAGAGAATAATTGTACTGGTGGTACATTTCTGGCACCGGAGGGCAAAGAGAAAATAAAAATAGGTTTTTGGACACCGCACCATTTAAAAACAACATGAAACATTGGAAAATAAGAGTCTCGTGAATGTTATCTGTCCACTACACTTTTCTTCCAAACTTAGAACAGAGAATAATGGAGTTGAAAGGGACCTTGGAGGTCTTCTAGTCCAACCCTCAAAGCAGGAGATCTTACTCCGTTCCAGCCAGATGGTTCTCCTATTTTTGAAAACCTCCAATGTCGGAGCACCCACAGGTTTTGAAGGCAAGCCGTTCCACGGATTAATTGTTTGTTGTTTTTTGGGAAATTTCTCCTTATTCTAGATTGGATCTGCCTTTAATGATCTTCCATCCACTACTTCTTGTCCTGCCCTCCAGTGCTTTGGAGAATAAGTTGACTCCTTCTTCTCAGTGACAATCCCACAGTGGAAGATGTCACCCCTAGTCCTTCTCTTCTAGCATCCTCCACCGTTCATCGTACCATTTAGAATCCAGGCGCCTTGTCATCTTCATTGTTCTTCCAAGAGCATTTCCGTAAACATGGATTGTGTTTGACCCTGACGGTTTGTTTTACGGTATCTTGGTTTCCAGCGTACTTTTTCAAATTAAAGTAGTGTTTAAAACCAAGTCAGGTGGAGCAAGTAGCTTTGGCTGGTAGCGAGAGGGCCGTTTCGGCTCCAGCTTTGATTGGCTTCGTTGTCATTAGCGAATAAGTGGCCGTTGGCCAAGTTGACATAGCACATTATATTATAAACAAACAGAGCCACTTTTTCTGTGTGAGCTGTGTGAATCCAGACACTATTTTGTTTTATTCCCTCCCCCCCATTCTGCTTTTCCGGAATAGTGGGTAGGAAAAGAATATTTTTCTCAGCAGTGGGAGATTTTTCGCCTCTTCCCTTTCAACAGATGGCATCTCCCCTGCCCACCAGAAGGGGGAAAAAAATAAAACGAACCAGAGCAAAGTGACACTGGCAAAGTGTGAAATGATCAAACGATAAGATTCTTAATTTATCCTGACGGGTGCAAAATCATATGTCGGTGGGAATCAAATCTCAATAGGGAATCAGGGACAGCAGAGAAGGTCCTTACAGCTAAGTCCTTGACTTACCATCACAAATGAGTGCAAAATTTCTGTTACTAAGGGAGACGTTTGTTAAGTGGATTTTCCCTATTTTACAACTTTTCTTGCCACGGTGGTTAAGTTAGGAACAACTATTTCAACTCCTAAATGCAAGGGGTCACAGCTCACTCGCCACACACCTACGCACCCAACCAGACAACAGAAACGGAGGCGGGAAGGAATCAAGGAATGCAAGTGAGCCTGACGTAGCCTGGGATGGTCCCAACACCCCAAGGTCAAACGCTGCGAAAATGTCGCGCTCAGATGATTTCCAAAACAACATGAATGCAATTGATTGGTGGACGATGGACCATGGGGAGGTCCAGGGGGAAAGGGGGATTTTAACCAAGCTGGCTTGGGCGCGAAAACTTTACGACTGGCTTTGCTACTTCTATGCCTATGTGGAATTATCAGTAAAGTTACGCTCTCGGTAAAATAATGTCCCAGGATTGGTTGTCAAGTCAACTTTTTTTCAGCGCCCCTGTTAACTTCAAACAGTTGCTAAACGAATGGTGGTTAGGTCTGAGATTACCTGTATATAGACATAGATCTATAAATACAGATTTTGAAACAAATGTGAGGTCTGGAGCTCTCTGGGATGTCTCTCCCTTTTCTACTCCAGGCAAGAGATATTTCGGGTTGAGGAAATGACGCGGTTTTTGACAGGTCTTTTTAAATGATCGACTTTATTAAAGAAGCATAAAGAATCCTCGGAAGGGCTCCATCCCTCTCCGAAGCTGGCCAGGGCAGCCCAGTCACCAAAACGGATACGGACAGGCATTGATTAACGCTCAACCTTCATCTCCTGCTCGTACTCTTCCTCCCCTTTCCCTTCTTCTTCCTTTTGCTCCGTAACAGCGACCTCACCAAGTAGCCCTTCCACACGGCTTGGATCAGAGTAGCCGCCCGGGCCAGGATGGCTAGCTCCTTCTCGGCTTTGTCCTTCTGCTCCTGCCTCACCCTCCTCTCCTCCACGATCTGGCAGTACTCCTCGTCCAGTCGGGCGTATTTCTCCCGCAGTTGGGACAGATCCTGCTTCTCGTTCACGTAGACCTCATCAATCTCATCGATCTCCTCCTGGGAAAAGAGAAGCAGCCGGGCCCAATTTTATGACCCTTTTTTTATGTTTTTGCCAGGGTTGTTAAGCGAATCGTGGCATTTTTTAAGTGAATCATGGGGTCCTTAAGCAAATCCGACTTCCTCCATTGACCTTTGCTTGTCGGAAGCCGACAGAATATTGGTGTGTGTGTGTATATGTGTGTGATGTAGCTTCCTTGTGAGGTTCAGATAACTCAAGTGTTTCTCAACTTTGACAGCTTGGACTACGCTGGATGGGGAATTCTGGGGATTGAACCCCGGGTTATCTGAGCCTCACAAGGAAGCTACATCAGGTGCAAGGATCGGTTGCCATTTTTTTCACTGCCGTTGTAATAACTGAATAGCTGGGTGGGGAATTGGGGAGTTAAAGTCCACCCATCTTCAAAGATGACAAGATAAAGATAAGATGACCTTTATTGTCATTTCTTTACTGGCACACATTAAAAATGAAATTCCGTTGCCTGCTCTCAAAAGTGTACCCATACATAACACGCACGTAAACCTGCCATATACAACATATGTACATACCTACACCGTTACACATAAATATTCATCCCTGTCCATCTTGAATACGTAGCGGAAAGAGGAAGCTTGAGAGTCCACAAGGTGGATACTTAAGGTTAAGGTTGAGAAACATTGAGTTAACAAAAAATTGTATGGTTCTGTGCAGCCAGCCGAGCTTTTCCAAAGAATGTGTGAGGACGTAACATCTAACTAATGTCATAATCTCAATAGTAAGAGTACAGTAAGGAAGAATCATCCTGCACCTGAGGCTTAGTTAGAAGACCTGGCTGCTTATTTTTGCCAATGATCTCTTGAGAGGAAAATAGCTTTTTTTTAATGCCCCTGTAATCCCTTGCATCGGAGTGATGTTGGGGCAATTAAATGGTGCTTAAGCCTTTACTAGCCGGATGCTTTTCCTGACGCCTACGGGGGGTTCACAGCACACAATTACTCATTGTGCCCAGATAGAGAAATATCTGCCACTGTCACTCTAGGATCAAACCCAAAGCCGCCTGTGTGTCTACCATTAGGCCACTGTGCCACTCTTCTCAAGAGGAAAATAGCTATACAAGGGGAAAGAAAAGAAGGTCATATCATACCTGCTTTTCGATCATTTCGAGGTCATACTTTTGGACCCAATTTTCTATCTCCATTTCCACCTTGTATTTCTTCTATAGGGATTAAGATCAGAGTAAAAATGGTCAGTTGTTATTATTATTTGTAAAAAAACCCAAAACCCATCTCACAGTTGTCTTAACTTCAGCTCAGAAATTGTCAGGTTGTGGTTAAACAGTGACAGTCTTTGAGTTTTAAGACGTCTTGTTAGGTGACAATATTATGTATATATATATATATTTGACCGGAATCTGCTTGCAGGGCAATTGAATCGTACAGATGCTATTTTCTAGGATACTCTCTAGGGTGGCTGATGTAGGGTCTTCCCCGGCCATGTTGCGTGAACGTGTTTCTCTGCTCAGCCTCCACCAGGATTTACCTTCCGAAGGTTCAGTTCCGACTCGCGATCCTCAACCACCAGGGCGTTGAACTGAGCTCGCAGCTGCTGCAGCTCCTGTTGCAACTTGCCACATTTCGTCTGGGAGGTGCGCACCTCCGTCTTGTGCTGCTTCTCCGCTTCGGCCCGGGTGCGCTGGATTTGACTTTCGGAGAACTTGGCCAGGCTGTGCAAGTGACTTTTCAGGTCTTTGATGACGGTGTTCTTCTTGGAAATCTGAAAAAGGGGAAGGGGGAAAAAAAATATATCTTGGCAACCAAACTCAAAATCAAAGTTGAGATTTTGGAAAAAAAAGTTCAGAGAAGAGCAACTAAGACGATTAAAGGCTTGGAGACTAAGGACTAAGGGGGACATGATAGCGAACCAGCCCTTTTTGGCAGTTAATTCATTTTTGACTGGCCAAGGGTCCCACAGTCAGATCTCGCTGCCTAGATCCTGCCATCCATACCTCCTCGTCCCTGTTCTGGATGGCTGCCGTCAGTTCCTCTTCCAGACCTGCCGCAATCTCTGTGTTTTTCTTGTCTCTCTGGAAGACTTCATACAGAAACCGACATTTCTCTTTTTCTTCTAGGGGGGTGGTGAGGAGCTGCTCAAAGAGGAACCCTCTCTGCTTGGACAGGCAATTAATAAATTTATGGACGGACAGGTCCCTGCAGTAAGCCACGTCCCTCAGCGCTTGACAAGCGACCGTATTGGTGTAAAGCAGGCGCAGAATATTTCGGACGGAACTCTTGAGACCTTGAACTTGCAAAGTGAGATAACCCTCCGGATCCACAATGCCAAAAAAAGTGCCTTTACCGGAGCCTATATAGAGAACGTTTTCCTCCTGGTGAGAAAGCATAAATTCCAGGATGTTGGAGAGGCGTAGATGTTCCCGGAAGGCTCCTGTAAGGTCAGGACCTAGCACGGCAATGAACTCATCGAGGTTCTCAATGACATGGGAGAAGACGCTGACCAATTCTATCCTGAAGATGGTCTCATCCAAGACAGATATGATCCTCTTGGTCTCAACAGTGCTCAGTTTCGTCCGACCGGGATCCAAGATCCTTAAGGGGGCTCGGACACTCTTTTTGGGGCGGCTGGAATCAACCAGCTCGTAGGATGGGGAAAGCAATTCTGTCGTCATGTTTTCGGCTGGAGAGCCTTCGGAATGGGAGAGAGGTTTTGAATTTCCTGACAAGGGTTCAGGTGTTTAATGCCGTTGTTTTACTGCCTCTGATGGAGAGGATTCTGAGAGTAAGACAGTGCAATGGGTAGGAGGATTAACCTTGAGGGACAGGGAGAAGAGAGGAAACCAAGGCAACGGTCAGATAAGAGGAATCTGTGTCCAGGGCAGAAATGTAACCTGGGAAAGAGTCTTGGATAGGACCCTCCCTAGTTCCTCCTGAAGATAAAGAGAAAATAATGAATATGTAGACATAACCATATAATAATTATAATGAATAATAAAGCAAAGTTAGTACCAATAGCGATCGGCCTCTTGGGTTGCCATCCCAAAACCTCTGGAGCACCCCTTCAACACCTTTGGCATTGACAAAATACCCATCGGTCAATTGCAAAAGGCAGCTTGACTTGGAACAGCTGACATCCTGCGGCGATACATTTAATACCATCAAACAACAGCATCTGCCTATCCTGGATTTTTGGGAAGGACTCAACGGATGAATTAAAAAATGCTAAAGTGAGTCTGGCTGATGGTGCAACCAGCCCTAATAAAAATCTGGAGCATCATTCGAACACCATCGGCACTGACACAATCCCCATCGGTCAATTGCAAAAGGCAGCTGAATTTACAACAGGTAACATCTTTGGACCAGACCTTTAATATTATTAAATCTGCCTATCTCAGGTTCTTGGGAAGAACTTGACAGATGAACAAAAATACCAAATCCGATTTGAACACCTGGCTGTGTGATGAACAAATAAATATTATCATCATCATCATCATCATCATCATCATCATCATCATCATTATTGATCATCGCACAGTCAGCCAGATGTTCAGACTGGATTTGGCATTTTTGTCTACCTATCAAGTCCTTACTATTATTATTGTTTTGTTATTTTGTTTAATAATAATAATAATAATAATATAGTACTGTACCCTGTAGGTGGATAAAAATGTCAAATCTAGCCTAAACACCTGGCTGACCCATCATAATAAAACTAGTAATAGAACAGAAACGGAATGCGATGCTGCATAATAATAAAATAACATAATACAAGGATCTGTAGTGTTATAAAATGATACATTAGTAAGGAATGTAAAAATAGATATAAATATCCCCCCTCCCTTTGAAAAGCAACCATTGCAATTTTTAATTTTTGCAGCTCTACCTGACCCAACAGCGAAAGGACCCCTCGGTTACCATGACAACGGCTTCCCTTTCGGTAAGTTAAAGCCGAGTCCCCGGGTTGCCCGGCAACCCTGGCCGCGCGAGGGACGGAGCTTCAGCTAGCCAATCGAAGCCCTCGTTGCTCCCACTGTGGTTCCGTTAAGCCAAGACTTGGCCAATCAGAGGCGTCTGAAGTCAACGGGTCGGAGCCTTGCTCCTCCCACCACCTCTTCACGTGCCGCTTGAGGGAGGCAAGGTAGTAGTGTGGAAGGCGCTTCGGTTTGTCAGTTGACCTTACTGGGAGGCCAAATGGGAAAGCGAGGGATACTTATCGTCTGAAAGTCGACGAACTTATAAACAAGCTGTTGGCCAAATGACTTTTGTTCATTTTTATATAGGGCTCATTCTGGCCGTTCAAATGGGGGAACCTTGATGGAGAACCGGAGCTTGCAGGCAGCCATATTGTTTCCCTATCTCTCCACCCTGTTAGAGGCCTAGCGCATTCCAGGATGACGTCGGAACAGGGCAGGCTAACAGCGCATGCGCATTTCTAAAGCCTCTAGGGAAGGCGGCATGCAGAGATTCCACCACAACTTCCGGATACCAAGAGGACGCTGTTTATACCGCATGTAGAGTGGAGACATTAATTAAATAGCTACCCTTCTCTTTCCCCCCGCCTACATGCTGGTTGGGGATGATGGAAGTTGTCGTCCCACATCCTTCCAAGACTGCAGATTTGGGAGACGAGTTGTGCAATCCTAAGGATGAGAACTTCACCTGTTGTTTGCATTGCAACCTTCATTTTTTTAATTAAAAAAAAGGCATGGTCTTTCTTCCCCCCCCCCCCCAGGGTTACAACGCCACGCTTCCTTCCGACCAAGCCGCAAAATAAAAGTCCCTGACTCTGCAAAGGTCGTCGGCAAGCTTTGCACCTGCGGGACCCCGAGACGCCCGGTCCAAGCCCGGTTCAAACCGAGCCCCAGCGTCCCAGCCAGCCCCTTCGCCCACTTTGGCTTTTCTTTAGCAAGGCACGTTTGCAAAGTCGGAGGGATTGTGTGTGTGTGTGTGTGTGTGTGTGTGGCGGAGGGAGGGAAGAAACTGAAGCTGGAGCCCATATTGCAAAAAGGGAAAAAAACACTTTTATTTTGAACGACCACTGCAGCCCCCTGAAGGAGTTTTCTGAGCCGGCCAAGATGATGCAAACCCTGATTTAGAACAGCTGGGCTGAAAAAAAGCAAAAAAAAAAAAGCAAAAAAAAAGCCCGCGGAGAGGGTCGAAGGAAAAGAAGGCGACTCCCCAGCGGAGCTCCAGGTTCTCAGGCTTTATGGACGGGCTGCCCTTGCTCGCTTCCTTCCCCGCCTCCTTTGGACTCTCGTCTGGCTGCTTCCTCCTCCTCCTCCTCCTCCTTGCTGGACTCTCCCCTTCCTAAGTCCTCGGAAGGGCTGCCGAGGCCCGGACGGGAGAGCTCCGGAGCTCCAAGCTTGCTTTGCTTTGGCTTGCTTTGCAAACGACCCGGGACCTTTTTTTTTTTTTTTTAACCGACACGCGTTGGCCAAGATCATGGGGACGCCGGCAGAGCGCCGAGACGGGCCCGGGCTTTGATCCAAACGCTTGCAAAGGAAGAAGCAGCGCTTCCCCCGTGCAGCAGCAACAGCAGTAGAAGCCCCGCCGGGACCCGAGCGGCAGACCCGGTGGGCTTCTCCCATGGCTGGGTTTCTGGAAGAGGACGACGTCCCCCTCATTTTGACCTTAGAGGAGAGCAGGAGCCGGAGGGGCGAGCCGGAGGGGGTCCCCAACGAAAGTAAGCCAACTTTGAGGTCTCTCTCCACCGCCTCGGGCCCCCCCCCCACTTCTTCCCAGGTCGGCTGGGAGGCGCTTTGCAAGCTGCGGCAGTTGCTTCTGGGGTAGGGGGTGGGGAGGGGGCTCTGCGTGGCTTCAGAGAGAGAGGGAAAGGGGGTGGGGGTCTTTCAGGGGGGAATGTGCGTCCGGAGAACAGCATTCCGGGGTGCTTCGGCTGTGGAGGGGGCTGTCTTGCTTTAAGAGGCTGAAGTGGGGAGGGGGAGAAAGAGAGAGACCTGGTACCAATAAAGGAGAGTCTTTGTAGCTCAGGGTTGAAATGAGGGACAGACAGACAGATAGATGGTAGGTAGGTAGGTAGGTAGGTAGGTAGGTAGGTAGGTAGGTAGATAGATAGATAGATAGATAGATAGATAATTAGAGAGAGACAGACAGATAGATGATAGATAGATAGATAGATAGATAGATAGATTGATAGATAGATAGATAGATAGATAGATAGATAGATAGATAGATAGATAGATAGATAGATAGATAGATAGATGCAGATGTGGGATACATGATAGAGAGAAAGGCAGATGGGGGATAGATAATAGATGATGGATGATGGATAGATAGATAGAAAGATGATGGATAGATAGAGATAGAGATGGATAGATCGATAGATAGATAGGTGCTAGGTAGGTAGGTAGAGAGATAAATAGATAAACAGAGAGATAGAGACTTAGAGAGATGATAGACAGACAGACAAACACTAGATACTAAAAGAGGAGAATATTTGTAACTCAGGGTTGAAACGAGGGGACCTTGGTGCTCTCTGAGCTTGCTTGTTTTCTTGCAAACGTTTCATTACCCTAACTAGGTAACATCATCAGTGCTGGGGGCCTGGGGCGGTTGGGACCTCCATCACTGATGGTTTTCAAAAATAGACTGGACAAGCGTTTGACCTGGATGATATAAGGTCTGCTGCCTGGAGCAAGGGGTTGGACTAGAAGACCTCCGAGGTCCCTTCCAATGCTATGATTCTAGGTCCTTAGTGTGGAAGGAAAGCACAGTGCATAGATACGTTCCCAAGACTTTATTTTCCAATTTTTCATCTTGTTTTTAAAACGGCGTGGTGCCCAAAGGCCTACTTGTTATTTTCTCATCGCCCTTCAATGCCATCTATTGGCAGAAAAGCAGAGCTGGAAACCCTCTGGATAAAAATAAGGGAAGCGAACCTGTGTGATGACAAACACATGATTTTTGTCACCCTGGCCAGCCTGCAGCCGAGGGACAGTGGCTATACTATCCAGTTAGGAACAAAGAGTAGATTTAAAAAAAAAAAAAAGCTAATTGACTCCTTTGTTTGGCTTGAGTCTCTGCAAAGAGATCCTGAGAGCAGGATGAATCAGAATGCGGAGGCAGAAAAAAAAAATAAACAAATCTGGCCGAAAGGAAATAAGAAAATGTCAGGGTACATCTGCTTATGTAAAGCGCACCACGCAATTGGGAAGTGTATGTCTGTTTTTGTCTCTTGCTGGTGAATTCCTGAAAGCCCGTTTGGTTCTAGCTGTTTACGGTGGCAAACGGTAGGACGAGCGCTTAGGGAACTAGAACAATTAATTAACAATTAACAAAAAAAGATGCTGAGACCCTAGAAATTGTGCAGAGAAGAGCAAAAAAGATGATAAAGGGTGTGAAGGCTAAAGAAATAAAGGAGAAATGTTTTGACAGTTAGAACAATTAACCAGTGGAACAGGTATTCCTCAACTCCGTCTAGATGACCTCACTTTCCTTCATGAGGTCTAGGAACTTGACGTCTCTGGGGACACAAACCTCTCTCTCTCAAACACACCCACCACAATTTTAACATAAGAGGGTCTTGCCTCCCTTGTGAAGGGAATGTCTTAGGAACAAACAGGCTGAAAATGTAGTTGCCTGGAGCTTACAATCTTTCCTCCCTGCTTTCCTTCAAGATGGAGTCAACTACGACGAGATCCAGGACATGTCCAGCCCAGCGACCGGAAACCGATGCTCTCAGTGGGACCGTGGAAGACGAAATTGGGAAATGAATTATCAGGAGGCTGCAATCTACCTACAGGTTTGGCCACCACCTTTTGGGGAGGGGAGGGGGGAAACGAGGGGAAGAGAAATGAGAGGACGAGTGGGAATCCCAGAATCCCCCAGCCTGAAGAACTGGTGCTAAGAATTCTGGGAGTTGAAGTCCACCCATCCAAGACCACCCAGGTTGGATGTCTGTGAAGATTCTCAATTCATCCAGGTCATGGTTGCCTCAAAGGTGCTTTTTCCAAAAGGCAATAGTAGTTTTTTTTTTCTTTGAAAACATTTCGCTTGTATTTTTTATTTGGCGTTTGTGCCCTAACTGTATATTCTTTCTTCCTCTTCTCCCCCCCTCCCCAAATATTCCAGGAAGGCGAGAACAACGATAAATTTGTCACTCATCCCAAGGACCCCAGAACCCTGGCTTCCTACCTCTTTGTCCACAACCATCTCTTCTATCTGATGGAGCTAACCACGGCTCTGTTGCTCTTATTGCTGTCTCTCTGCGAAGCCCCCGCAGTAGCCATATTCCGCCTTGGCATTTACGTACGTAGTTCCCGGGAAGGGGAGGGAGGAGGGGGCCGCGAGGATACGGGGACAAGGATACGTAGGGGCTGCCACAAAGAAGAGGAGGGGGTCCACCTATTCTCCAAAACACCCGAAGGCAGGAGAAGAAGCAACGGATGGAAACTAATGAAGGAGAGAAGCAACCTAGAACTAAGGAGGAATTTCCTTGACAGTGAAAACAATCAGTGGAACGGCTTGCCACTAGAAGTTGCGAATGCTCCAACACTGGAAGATTTTAAGAAGAGACTGGACAGCCATTTGTCTGAAATGGTTTTACGAACGAGCTGAGGAACATGGATCCTCATCTCTCTCTCTCTTCCCTCGTCTGGTTTCAGGTCCACGCCACCCTGGAGCTGTTTGCCTTGACGGTTGTGCTGTTTGAGCTCTCCATGAAGTTAAGATGGCTGGGCTGCCATACCTACATCCGACACAAAAGGACTATGGTCAAGGTAAAGCCATACCTTATCTAGCAAAAAGTCGGCTGGCATTTTTACCTGGAAATACATCCCACCGGGTTTATTCTTGTTTCTTGTGGATTTACTTGAAAGCCGGGTCAGGAAACAAGACGGCATAAAAAAATACTAAAGTAGTAGTATTGTTACAGGCAGTCTGTCATGGTTCCGACAGATGAAACTCTTCAAAGAACTTCGAGGCATTGTTTACCTTAAAGAATCTTTATTCGAGTAGCATAGCATCGGCACGTATGTAGTCGAAGCCAAAATCTGAATTCCCCTCCCCTGAACACATAGTATCAAAGCACAATTCCCTCCTCTAATTTACAGTCATAAATCACATTCTCCAATTAGTTTGAAATGCAGGCTTTCCCTCCAGTTCTGCCATTTCTTATCATCTCTTATTTCAAAAAACCTTGGTTCTCACACTAGTTACAATATTGTTATGTCTAGCTAAACTCCCGTGCACATTCCTCCCCCCCCCAGCATCATCTAATTCTAACTCTAATTCTAAGAGTAAAACGTAAGAAGGAAAATGGCTGCATCTCCATCTGTTGTCAAAGCAAGAACATCCGATGTTAGTAGCGTTGACACAGCCCTTGAATCCCTCCCTCCTGGGAATCCAGACCACATTTCACCACACGTGAGGCCTTCTCCATTTTTTTCTTCTTCTTCTCCCCCGGCAGACCTGCGTCCTCTTCCTGCAGTTTGTGGAAGCAGTTGTGGTGTTGGTGCGCCAGACCTCCCACCTTCGGATCACCCGAGCCTTGCGGTGCATCTTCCTGGTGGATTGTCGCTATTGTGGAGCTGTGAGAAGGTAACAGGCTGCTGTGATGCTCTTGGCAAGAAGTGCTCTTTCACTGGCTTTGTGCCAAGGGTTAGGGTTAGCCAAGGGTGCCAAGGGTGGATTTGAATTTTACTCTTTCGGCATCTCGCTGGAGGTTGTTAAGGCACGGAATAATCGACACGGAGGGAGATTTTTCTTTTCAAAGAGCTACTGTTTTTTGTGTTGCTTTTTTTTTTCCCCAGAAACCTTCGTCAGATTTTCCAGTCTCTTCCTCCCTTCATTGATATTCTGCTCCTTTTGCTTTTCTTCATGGTCATCTTCGCTATTTTGGGTAAGAACTTGCCACTGTTTGATTAATGAAATGGGGTTTTAGGGCGAAATACTGCGGAAACATTGGCAGTAAACGGATCTGGGCAAAAGGACAGAACCTGGGCTGAGATGTCACAATGCAAACAGCACAATGCATTGCGGCATCATTCTTACACACGATGGTTGCGGTGGAGATACCAAAGACTCAAAAGTGTGTATTGCAATGTCACGAAGCCGGACATGTTGTGTTGCCTCTTGGTCTGTCCCAGGTTGAGTATAAGCCAGTTTAACTTCTCTGGAGAGTTTATTCGGTTCAGGTAGTCCTCTATTTATGACCACAATTTATTAAATGAGTTTTGTCCTTTGTGCACTCTGAGCTTGGTTGTTTTCTTGTAGATGTTTCAGTACCCAACTAGGTAACATCATCAGTGCCACCACCTAGTAACATAGAATGATTTTACCTAGTTGGGTCATGAAACGTCTGCAAGAAAACAACCGATCTCAGAGAGCGCCAAGGACCCCTCAATTCAAACCTTGAGCTACAATTATTCTTGTTTTTCGGTAACACTGTATAGATGTAACTTGTTTTATCTTTCTCCATTCTTCTCTATTTCTTCTAGGATTTTATCTGTTCTCTCCAAACAAATTGGACCCCGTAAGTAATGTTCTTGGGAACATCACAAATCTTAATAGGGAATCTTTTAAACAACTTGTTGAGGTTTCAGTGAATTCCAGTGCGATGCAGATAGTTCTGTGTGCAAGCCGTTGTGATTCTCAGCTTAATTTCCTTCCCCCTTTTTAAATAAAGAAATGTGTCACCCATGCAGGGCTTGAAACCCCAACTCTCTTGGCATCACTGTGCTTGTTTTGTGCAAAAGGAATTGATGACATGCTTGTGACATGCTTAGCCAGCAAAGTTATACCCAGGAGCTTTCAGTTCATGGCTTTTTCCTGAAGCAAGGAAAACTTAACACAAGAATTAAAATTAGGAAAGGAATAGTTACCAAATAAAAGCAAGAGAAGAAAAAAAAAACCTTAGGAACACGCCTAAGCACGCATTCATTTATGTATGAGATCTTGAAAAAGAAATTTGTTTTAGATGTGCAATATTTCGGTCTAGGGATGAAAAAATTCTAATGGAGCTAAGAAACAATAACTGGATAGGAGCTTTATTGCAAGATACTTCAAAATGTTCTTTACACTTGGGACAGTGCAATTTTAAATGCCCTGAAGAAACTGCCTATTTAATTTTCCAAGGCTTTCTCATACCACACCTAGCAATAGAATCATTTTTTAAGCATGAGTCTCTAGGCCTCAAGAGGGCGAGGCTACAGGTTTTATAATTGGGCATTTCTTCTGACAGATCTTGTCACTAGGCTCAGCCAAATTAAGAGAGGGATGATTTGTATATAGAAAGAACGTCTGGTTCCTATTGAGTCCAATTCTTTGGCACAGCGTAGAGATGATTGCTATCTATAGGAAGCCCTAGTCATTAGTTGCCAGGGAGAAATGGAAGGTAATACTGGTAGCCCTCTACTTAACGGCTGCCATGGGACCAGAATTTCTGTTGCTAAACAAGGACCTTCCAGATTTTGATCACGTGATGCTGCAAAGGTCGTAAGTGTGAAAAACGGTCCTAAGTCACCTTTTTCCAGTTGTAACATTGGAGCAGTCACTAAATGAAAGGTTGTAAGTTGAGAACTTCCTGTAACGAACACTGTAATGGAGGGGGGCATGTCAGGTAAACATTACCTGTCTGTTCGCTTAACCTGAGAGGCATCTGAGATTCTTCTGGGCCCGACAATTCAGACTCATCTGTTTTCATTTTCTTTCTTCACGGTGCTTTTTTCGTTCTTTTGCAGTATTTCAACACTTTGGAGAACAGCCTGGTGAATCTTTTCGTTCTTCTCACCACTGCCAAGTAAGACTTGGGTTCTTGAGAAGCCACAATAGAGGGGACGGTGATGGGAGGGCAGAGGAAAACTTGCTACCTTGCTTTTTCCAGCAGCTCGTGTTTCAGCATCTTTATTTGAAAGAGGGTGGATAAAGTCACCTCTGCTGAATTCAGCAGTCACCTCTGCTGAATTAAAACAGGGAGAAGTCAGAAAACCCAAAGCAAATCTGTTTTTTGATATTTATTTGGGAAGTGCAAAATTAAATTGTCTTTTTGTCAATCAGTTAATCTTAACTTTGGCCATAGACCAGCATGGAACTCAGAACAATTACTTTACATAAAAATGTTCATAAAAACCAATGGAATAAAATAAGGTAAAGATAAAATTATGGACGTAACTAAGTAAATAAACAAACGGGAATTAAAACGCACAAGCATCCTATATAAATTGCAGTCAATTTTACAAGGAGTAATTAATTTTGAAGGAGGAATGAATGAATGAATTATACAAGGGGGCAAAATTAATCAGTTCATTCATTCATTAATTTTGCCTCCTTACATAATGCAACCCTCAATTTTTTTTTCTTAATTTATTGACTTGGTTGGAACTCCTCAAGGCAGCCAACACAATTTAACAAATTAAAACTGTTGATTTTTTTTTTTAACAAATTAAACATCGAAGCTGTTCCCGGTCAGAAGTAGTTTTTTTTGGGACTGGATGCAGCCTTCCCTGGAGTCGGGCACCGCTTCAAGATCGGTCTCCCGAAAGCATTTTAGAGTAGGCAGATAATAGCTACCTGCCACATCTCAGCGCAGCCGTGACTTTTTGGGGATGGTGTGACTGTCTTCTGGAGAACAGATTTGAAGTGTTGTACACAGCCTTTCGCCATAAAATCTCCTCTGATTGTCGGTCTAAACGGAGGCGATTATTTGTTGGCTTATTATGTAATGATACGTGGGAAAAACCTTGAGGAACGGGTCCCAGAGACACACCCAAGGGAAGGGTCAGATGGCATAGCCCACAGCTGCATAATGGGTGGAGAAAATGGTTCAAAAGACACCCCCTCTAGTTTCTTGAGATGTAAAGGGGGCAGGAGAAATAAAAGGAGGAGGAACCCTTAGCTGTATAATACCGGTAGGAAGAGACAGGTTATAAAGGGGATGGGGGGAGATTTGTCCCCTCAATCTGGCGAGATTCTCTTAATGTAGCGTTACAATGAAGTAGAATTATCTCTCATCTCATCCTGTTTCCTAGCTGGCCTACCTGCTAAGGGTGACCGTTTCTCTTGTCTTCTCTCTTTCTTTCGGACATAGTTTCCCCGACGTGATGATGCCTTCTTATTCCCGAAACCCGTGGTCCTGTGTCTTTTTCATTGTGTATCTTTCCATCGAGTTGTATTTCATTATGAATTTGGTAAGCACAGCGTCCAACCTTTGGAGTAATGCTTGGTGATTCTTTCTCCTGATTTAAATCTTGGGTCTTTTAGCACCTCCAGCCAGACTGTCTCTTTCATATATCTGTAAGAGAGCCAGTTGGGTCTAGTGGTTAAGGCACTAGACTCAGAAGCAGGAGGCCACGAGTTCTAGTCCCGCCGTAATCATGAAAGCTGACTGGATGACTTTGGGCCAATCACTAAGAGACTGGGAGTTCTAGTTCCCGCCTTAGCGTGAAAGCCAACTGGGTGGCTTTGGGCCAGTCACCAGGAGACTCTGATTTCTAGTCCCACCTTAGCCACGAAAGCTAGCTGGGTGACTTCGGGCCAGTCCCTCCTTCTCAACAACCTCACAGGGTTGTTGTTATGGGGAAAAGAGGAAGAGGGATGCCAGAGCAGCAGTTTCCCAAGTGGACCTAGAGATGGATGCAAGTGTGATCATATATGGACTGCTTTGATTTGAAGAATGGCCCCTCCCATATTAAGACAGCTCCACATCACTGGAAGAATCGGAGCCAGTGATGGGAGCTTTGACTATTTTATTATTTTATTTCATTTATTTTTTTTAAAAAAATTGCCAGACGACAGACACGTGTTTAATCCCCAAGCGTGTTTAAACTCCGCCTGCCTCCGCCGGAAGTTGGTTGCAAGCTTCCCCTGATCTCTCTGTGAAGTCCTACCTCCCAGCTTGACTTTTGAGACTTCCCTCCTGTCCGTTTAGGCTGCCATGTTCTTGATTCGTGCTTCCCGCTTTCTTTCTTTCTTTCTCCTGCAGCTCCTGGCTGTCGTCTTTGATACCTTCAGTGCCGTTGAGAAAATGAAGTTCCGGTCACTCTTGCTTCACAAGCGCATGGCCGTCCAGCACGCCTACCGCCTGCTGGTTAGCAAACAGGTGGGTAGGTGGTCCTGGGTACACATGGAGGGGGGGAGGGTGTCTCCAGGAAGAAAGGTGTGGTGATGAGCTGTGAGGAACAGGAGGAAGAGCTGCAGCAATTGATGGCTGTCGTCCAGTATTTGAGAGGCTGCCCCAAAGAAGAGGCAGTCAAGCTATCCTCCAAAGCACCAGAAGGCAGTATAAGAAAAAAAATGGACGGGAACTAATCCAGGAGAGAAGCAACCTAGAACTAAAGAGAAATTTCCTGGCAGTGAGAACAATTAACCAGTGGAACAACCTGCCTCCAGAAGTTGTGGATACTCCATCACTGGAGGTTTTCAAGAAGAGACTTTTTTTCCAGTGCCGTTGTAACTTTGCTCAGGAAACGAGCGGTTGTCAGTCGAGGACTACTTGCAGTAGCCTGCCCTCTGTACATGCTCTGCGTAACTTCCTTCTTTTGTCTCTAGAGACCCTCTGGGATTGCTTTCAAGCAGTTTGATGGCCTCATGCGTTTCTACGCGCCCCGGATGAACGTTCGGGACCGTTATCTGACTTTCAAAGCACTGAGTCAAAGCAGCAGCCCTTTAATCAGGTAAGGACAAAGATATTTTTTTTCTCCTGCCCCATGGAAGAAGCTGGAAAGACTATGAAACTTTCCTTTCCCCCAAACAAACTTCAGCAGAATTAGCCTGCAGTGCTGCATTCTAACCACTGTGCCTTTTTTTGGGGGGGGGGAGCTCATTTGGGACATTCTGAGACCCTTGTCACTTTAAACCATCATTAAACAGTCGTTAAGTCGAAGAGTCCCCGTATCTTAAGAAGTTAGCCACATGTGGTTTTTTTAATATATATAACAAGTTTTTATTGGTTTTCCAGTTTTACATTTAGGTGTTTAGAAAGCAGCGTGGTGATTGGGTAGTCAATAGTACCATAACAAAATCTTTAGTACCTCTCTCAGGTTACATCATCAAAAAATTCCTTCTCTGTTTCCCTTAACATTTGCTATATCGTATTTAAGCTAGTAAATTTATCATTATAATTGTTATAATTATGAAAAAGCCACATGTGGTTTTTATGTGTGTGGTAGCCTTAACATGTTTTGCAAAGATCGAGTAAAATAGCTTTTTATCGCCCAGCTGAGGGACACGCCTGGGTGCGGGTGTACATGTGTGTCAGGGCTTTATAATAACACAGTGTGATCATCTAGCAGTCTTGTGTGCTAAGCAGTTAACAAATTTTATAGTAAGGATCCTAGGGGACCGCAGTGAAATGTTCTTATAAAAGGAACAAAATCTTTGAAGATTTGCCTCCCTTTTTTTTTTTTTTTTTTTTTTTGCAGGCCCTCAGCAAAT